GCAGGTTTGGAGAGAAGTCTGCCAGACCCTGGGGTCATCTCGGTTCTTGGTGTCTTCCTTTCCAGTTTAGTCTTTAGCCTTACCATAGCCTTCTAAAACCCCCAAGCCCTTTTTTCTTAAGGAGTCCTGAAAGAGACATGGTTTCTTGCCATTACAAGAGCCACAGTAACACAGAGAAGATACACATAAAGTTGGCAGCCCAGAGCTTGGCCTATAGTAGGTCCTTTCGTGTTCACTAGTCAGGAAGCTGCTTAAGAGAAAGATGGCATCTCACTCACCAGGATTTTTCAAAAGGCCTCTTACATAGACGTTCATCAAAAGCTTATTGGATAAATGACCAAATGAAGTCATTTCTGTTTGCCTCAGGACAAACATCCAAATGGCATTCATCCAGTTATCTATACAGATCTTGAGCAAAGCACTAAGGACACCTCCGTGAACAAGACAAGGTCCCTGCTTTCATGGAGCTTATGTCTGGTAGGGAAATGGATGATACACAAGTAAAACAATAAATATGTGTTATCAGGTAAGAAAAGCGTTATGACAAAAATAAAGACAAGCGAGGAGAAAGAGTGATTGGAGGGGGAGAGTGTTGTTTTTAGAATTCTTTAAAATACCTCCAGTGGTGGCTGACTCACTGCGTGGGCCTTGGTTTGCCTATCTTACAATGAGTTTTCCTATCTGCTAGATTGAGAGGTTTGGGAGGGTCCTTCTGAACCCAATGTTCCCAGCTTCTGCGGTTATGCAAGGCAGTGGCTGGACTTTCCACGGCCTCTGGAAGATCCAGGCTGTCATTATCAGGAACTGGAGAGAGATTTGCATGGCAAAGAAAACTGGAGAGGGTTGGTGCCATTCTGGGAGAGAGCCCCACGCCCCTGCTCTCAGCTGTTCTGAAAATAGCGACATGGTTACCTGTTATTTGTTTTGTGTGAGGAGCTGTTGAGGAGGGGGGATAACTTGAGACTCAGAGGGAGACCTCTGTGATGATAAAAACCAGATAACATTTATATTAGCATTACATTTACATTACATAACATTTACATTACATGTGCTAAGCGCCATACTGTCCACACTCATGATATAACTAAAATGACTCCCAAGTTACAAATGAGGAAACCGAGGCACAGAGCGGTAAAAGGTCCTGCCCCTGGTCGCACAGCCAGGAGACAGCCCAGATCTTTCTGACCCAGAAGCCTATGCTCTGAACCTCTAACTCTAACATCAGGGAGAACAAGATGTCTGCCCAAGAGGAGGGACAGATGGCATCTGGAGAGGTGAGGGATTCGAGAAGGCTTCTAGGAGGGAGAGGCATTTGACAGGATTGGTTGTAGCTTCTTGAGCTTGGTGTCTCCGGATACTCCAGCCGTGTACCCAGCCTGGGTTAACTCTGGCCTAGGAGGCCTGGGGAGAAGGGGCGGAGCAGCTTCACCCCTGTCTAGGCTCAGTGTCAGCTCCTCTCTGAGCTGTGTGCGAGGTGGGCGCCTGTTGACTCTGAATCATTTCTCTGCTTGAAAGGAAGCTGGAGGGAGGCTATCCTCCAGACTCATTCCATCTCAGGGGTAGGAAATAAGGAAGGGGTGGGGGAAACAACATTGGGGGGAGCATGTACTACGCACCTAGCTCTTCACCTTATTCCATCCTCCTAATCACCCGAAGAGGTAGGTCTTTTATCCCTCCCTATTTTACCAAGGAGCAAAGTGACTCTCAAACTTTCCTCCAACTGGCAAGTGCTAGAACCAGGATTTTAGTTAAGAACTTCTTGACTAAACCTGTGTGGGTTTTGTTTGTTAGTTTGTTTGTTTACTTTGATCTCAGGCAGGGAATTGAGGGTTTCTGTTCAGTTCTACAAACCTTTGACTACTGCATTTTGTTTTTTGGGAATCAAAGAAGAACCCATTAGAACTTTTTAAAGGGCCTCAGGATCTGGTCAAATTGTTTTTAAAACCCTTTGGAGGGAGGTAAGGACTTCTTTGTGGATCTAAAGAGAGAATCTGAAGTTTCTTGCTTCAAAAAAATGTACATAGAGACACAATACCCTACTAAAGTAGTGACCAGCCATGTACCCTCTGTCCCCAATCCAAGGGGCACAGGTTAAAACCCTACAAATCCACATATCGCACACCTTCAGAGCGATTCTCAGACCTTGGAGAAGGGGAAGCTAAATTTCTTAATTTCAGGGGGTTGGGATAGTTTTCTAGAAGAGCTCGCACTGTCTCAACTATCAGTGTTCAGTCTTTTTTTGCTAGTTGATTCTTTAAGTGATTATTGAAAAACTGTGTACTTCCTGGCTCTTTTTAGTTGACAGCTAACCTTTTTCATCCAAAGTTTATATAGCTACAAAGGTTGTAATTTCTGACACGTTGTAATACACTTAAAAATAAATGGTTACATCATTCTTTTAAATGTATCCAGTTAATTAAATACCCTAGTAATTTGATACTTACAACCATCCATTTAAAAAATTCATGAACAGAGGCCCTTCTCTAACAGTCAGAATTTTTATGTTATTCTTTTTTCTACTCAAACTCAAATTTCCACTCCATGTCCCACAACAAACTTTTATCATAATGTATTTTGTATGCTTCAATGGCTTATTGATAACTCTATTCTATCTCTCTGCCTATATATATGCAAATTAGATCATTATTTTATGTTCTATGACCATAAGGCTAAGTATTAAATTTTTCTATTATTACAATTATCATGAGAATGCAATTGATCAAAACAACGTAAATACATTACAATTTTTTAAAGTCCTACGAAAAATGTTTAACACTTTGAGATACAACTGACATAAACTATACATATTTAAAATTTACAATTTGACATATATATATATATACGCTTGTGAAATCAGTCCTACAAACCTGGATAAATAATTACTAAACAGAAAAAGTGATACTGGGTAATTTCAATACTCCTGGATGAATATTGCTTGTGCAGGAATGAGATAGGTTTTAGCCATAATTTTATCGCTATTTTTTATTTTTTATAGCTGTACAGCAGTGATGTGCCAAAGCCAGGTTGTACTGGTTCAAGTTTTAGGAATTTTAAATATAACTATTACTAAAAGTAAAATTCTAGAAACTTACAAGTAAATAAACTATATAAAAACCAAAGGACATAAGTACTCAAAACTCAAAATTTCCTAATTATTTTCCTACATTTTACTGTTGTCTATACTCTTGATATTATTTGCACCTATTGTGTCTCTATGGCAGAAATACTGCTCCTCTCTAACCAACTCCACGTTCAGTGACATCACGTTGGCAGCTTGAATTCACCTACAGGCAAGTACTTACATCACAGAAATTGGCAAATAGTATGCATTAGCACTTCCCGCCTTCCTCCCCTCCTCGTTAAACATTCATCAGCACACCACCGACTCTAAGTGCTGAGAAACCCTCCTTTCTTAAAGAAGCTGGTAGGAACGAAAGGAGTTTTGTTATAGCAATGTGACATCGCATAGTGATCTATCACCCAAAATTATTTTTAATGGTCTATCAGCCGACAAGTAGATCAGGCCTTCCTTCAATTCTGTGAGCAGCAAAGATTGCAAAAACCATCTGACTTGCAAAAGGATTTCTTATTCTGACATGAAATTCATTCATTTTTCTCAGTTTATTTCCAAATTCTGGGGAAGGGTTTTGAGAATAGCTGAAAAAAAAATTGCTTACCTTTAAATCTGTGGGGAAGAACATGGTCAGCATTTGAATTTTGCTTTACTGTCGAGGCTCTCTTGAAAATCGCAAAAGATTTTCATCCTTTGATAGTAATTAAGGGATGGGATGGAAGAGAGGAAGTCACTGCCAACTTATAAAGTATATGAATTTATAATATACCCACAGAGGCCAAAATATTCTGACTCTGAAGCCATGCTTCAGCCTTAGAAAGACACACACACACACACATACACACACACACACACACATTAGTATATGTATATTTGTCTTTATATCATATACTATATTTTTATGTCTTTAAACCATATAAAATGAAGAAGAGATAAGGCTAGGCATCTTTGGTACTTTATCATAGGATGGTCCCCTCCCCAATAATTCCAACAGTACTTGTACTTGGGGCCCCAGAGGATTTACCATCCCCCACTTTCCATGCACTGTTAGGAGGATACAGGGATAAGGTGGACACGAGACTTTCTTTTACAAATGTGGAAGCAGACCTGAGAATGGAGATAAACTTGCAGACCAGTTCTCCAAGAGATTAAACTTTTTAGGATGCTCAAAATCTGGAAAAAAATCCCTTAAAATAGAGGTCAGCCACCCTAAGACCAAAGAGTGTGCCCATGGCTTGGCTCTGTTCAGAACACTGCTAAAATGGTTTTTACAATTCTAAATGGTTTTAAAAAAAATAAAAAGAAGAATGATATTTAGCGACATGTGAAGTTTTTATAAAATTCAAATTTCAGCGTCCACAAATAGTACTTTATTAGAACACAGCCACACTCATTATTTTAAGTAGTTATTGCTTTCTTTGAACTACAACCCTAGAGGTTAATTGTGACAAGTGACCGTATGGCCCGCAAAGACTAAAATATTTAGCTCTTTACAGAAAAAGTTCGCTGGCCTCTTCAAACTACCGTGTTCGTGTCCCATTTGGAAAGCTTTCGGTACCCTCGGAGGAGAGTGTACCCGGTTTGAGGGCGCTGGTCTGTTTAGACCACCCTGTTCAAGTCCTTTCAGCCCGTGGACCTCAGTTTCTCCAACTATAAAATGGGGTTAGGCGCAGAGATCTTTGGGGACCTGCTTAGCAGGGAGTCAAATAAAGCGGGTTGGGGCTCCTGGAGGACGGTGACGTAGGGTAGGTGCGGAGCGGAGGCGGGTCCCTTGGGGTTTCCAGCTCCGCGGGCAGGCGCAGCGCCCCGGGGGCCCAGCTTTCCCGGGGAATTCCGGGGGGGAGGCGGGAGGTAGGGGCGGGGCGGAG